ATTAATTTTTATATATATATATATATATATATATTAATTATTAAGCTCCATTATTATAAATATATTAGTTAATGACTATATGATATTCACTCTACATGATTATTTCTTCGAAATTTTTATTTAACTTTTTTATAGATTATAACATTTGATTATATACTATATATATAAGAGTCTGATTTTAGTTATAGATTAAGTTCGATGGGATAAAATTCTATTACATTACCATATCGGAGATATTATAATTTTATATCATAAATTATAATTAGAATACACAACTCAGAGAATAAGATTTTTACTCTTCTCATTATAGACATTTAACAATTTCAATTTTTTTTTAAATAGAGAAAATTACAAAGATAGTCACGATGATAATTGAACCTAAATCTCTATTTTATAACTAACCATTTTTCTTCTTCTAATAATCTCATACTAAAATTATTTTTTAACTATTTATATATTTAAATTCTTAATTAACAATTTATCTCTTTCAACTGACTTTTTTTTAGCTCTATTTATAAACTGAATTCAACAGTTATTTTAAGAAAAATGTTAATAGTTAAAAGTAGTTTTGTATTACAATTTAGTTTATTAAGTACAAATTCAAAAGATAATTTATATTTAAAGATGTTTATTTTTTATAACTTTATTATACTAAGATTTATATATTTGAAAATGTTTATTTACTATAAATTTTAATGATATAAAACCATTTATGATGTGTAATGTTGAAACTAAAATACTAATTATTATAAGAAAGTGAGAAACTTATATATGTTTTATGTTTTGAATAACAGAATTATTGTGCGAAAGAAAAATAAAAATTGAAAGATAAATTGTTGAAAAATTCAATCAGGGAGTTGGTGAAACCATTGAATGTAATAAACAAGAGGATTCAGAGAGTCCTTAAGTGGGTGGTGTTTCTTTAAGAGGTATGGGCAACTAAGGCATATGATCTGATCGATAAGGATTGGTCGCCTTAAGTTATGGTGCCGGTTAATGTAACTTGTGCCCACACCAAATTCACTCTTTATTAGTCTGCATTCGATTTCCTGTTGCATTTTCCATAATCACGTTAAAATACTAGATAGTATGATTTTTAACTAAATGTTCACATGTTTGGTTTTATGTGAAAGAATTAATTACGAGTGTAAAATTGATTATGATATTCATGAAATAATTTAAGTATGTTGCTTCAAAAGAGAGGAGAGAAAGGGAAGAGATAAAAGGAAAAAATTAGAAATTTTGTATGGTTGAGAAGAGGAAAGAAATAAGAGGTAGTTTTTTGTTTTTTTTTTTTGGTTATTAAGGAGACGAGAAAGATTTTTAAAATTAATTTATCTTCATATCCTTATAACTTTAAATTTAAAAATATAATTAGAGATATTTTTGAATATTAAAAATGTTTTAAAAAAAAATTTTCCCCTCCAAATCCTCTAGGAGAGTTAAAATTAGATGAGGACAAGTTTTGTTTTCCTCAATTTCCCTCTTCTCTTCTAAAAATTAAAACAAACAAGAAATTTTTTAAAAACTGTTGTCTCTCCCCCAACTAATTAAGGAATAATTTATGTTTCGGAGAGTAACTTTTTTTGTACAAACATTATTAACACAGATTTCATCAAACTTGAAAGTACCTATCTAAGATAACTTTTGAAAAAACAATGTATTAAATTTTACTATTAAACTTTTTTACCATAAAAATATTAAAATATAAATACATCACTTCAAAAATAATTTTAACTAAAATCAATTTCATTAAAAAAAATAATAAATGACTTATACATATACATACACTACAAGAAATGTTGTATATAATAATATGTAAAAAGTGTTACTATAAATATA